ATTTTAAAAGGGTTTAACAACAGACCCAGTTATAAGGACACAGAAAACATTATCCTTACCAATCACCCCCTACCTCCATCTTTAGGCAGCAAACATAACGTCAAAAGATTAAATAAACACGATCCCTCTCGTACTCATAGTAGATGCTATACGTTTGTTTTGTAACAGTGTCAGAGTAACACTAATATCAGCTCTCTGATCCCAGCGGAAATCAAAAAAAGCTCATATAGGCTCTCACGAAGCGCCATGCTTGACCTTGTACCATCTTCCACTCGATATCACTTTTAAAAGCTCCAGCAAGAACACAGTCAGACACAATATCACCAGTGCTTTAATGAAAATCTTTCTCAAAATATTATTAAAAAGTGGTCGTATCGACACCTTTCATTTAGCTCCGTTCACAGCCCGGTGTTGCAGTGGCATCGTGACACAATGTCAGTCCAGGATTCTCCAAGAAAAAAGGTATCCCGTGTGTAATCACTAATGTGTCTCCTCGGCAGAGTAATAAGAGGTCGATGGGTCCAGGCAGTGTCACCACCCTCTCATTTTGCTGATGTAGTTTGAGGCAATATTGAAGAGCAGCTGAATGTGAAACAGTATAAACACACATTGACCTACATTCTCAATTCAGGATGTGCGAACTAATCTCACAGTTCCTGTCATCATTTGCCCTTTCTTATTTGTCCCGAGTTCTCCTCCTATTCATCTTGCCCTTTTTTTCAGGGCCTTTGATGGTTTTAACCTTTACATTATCTTTCATTTCTCCAGTCTATTTGCTCTTTTCTCACAATAGCTACTTTTCTCCATCTAGGTACACTCCGGTGGGTCGATCCTTCTTCTCGGCTCCAGAGGGCTATGACCATCCTCTGGGAGGTGGGAGGGAGGTTTGGTTCGGCTTCCATCAATCCGTGCGCCCTGCCATGTGGAAGATGATGCTTAACATTGATGGTGAGAACCAAATTCCACCTTGCATTTATTTTGCTGCAGTTGCACCTCAGGGCTACAATGTGGCCTCACAGCTGCAGCAAGGCATAGTGCTTACTGCCTCAAACACAATAAGAACTATGTTTGCTAATACAGCCATATTCCAAAAATATGTCCACGATGTTTTCAGTCTTTGTTTTAAAAAAAAAAACTCTTTCACAGCCGGGAAATGAGATTTTAATAATTGAACGGATAGATTAGAATGACATGGAGGCTCCACGATGCAGGCTATTTTTAGATATTTTGTGTATGACCAATTCACCTTCAGTGATGTTATGTTTGAGCAGATCTGTTTGCGCTATATTTAACATAAATCTAACTCGTCAGTGTCACACTCACTAGGAAGCTGTTTCATCGCTGAATGAGGTCGGCAAGATAAGGCTTTTTCATCTTCGTGGATGCTGAAGTCGTGGCGCTGTGCTGGGGAATCTAATTTTTTCTTTATGAAGCAGCACACCTTCCGTTTGCTTGAGAGTGAAACTACTAGTTTAATCCACTTACTACTTCCACTTCCAGTACTTTTACTTTTTTTGTAAATCCAATTAAACTTTAAAACTACTTGCAGCTGATATCGCGTGCAAAGGCTGTTGAATGAGTTAGGCTTTACATAGTGATGGCATTGCTTCTACTTTGACATGACATGTTAATTAGCTGTCGACTAATTTGTCAGAACGGAGCCAGTTATTCTGGTTGAGAGCCAGTTTTTCGGAAACTAATAGAGTGGTTCAAGATGTAGCTCGGTAATTAGCTTCAGCACTGCCTTCCTGTCAGTAGAAAAAAAACTGTTTGATGACATGGAATACTACAATTTCAATCTGTTGTTATTTGTGGAAAATGAGTGTCAGAAAGGGTGGCGGAGAATGTGTTTTGCCATATGCACACTGCAGGAGGTTGTTGGAGACCAAGTCACTTGGAGGAAGGTGGGTTCTTGGCTAGATGGGAACTGAGGAGTTGGTTGCTGTGGAGACTGAGGGCAGCTTGTGTGTGTGTGTGTGTGTGTGTGTGGTTGTGCCTGCATGAGTGAGACTGGTGGGTGTTGCTGGGGTCAGGAGGGTAGCTGTGTGGAGCATTTCCTTGAGACAGCTTTTGTTGTGCTCTGAGTCCTTGAAGGCTCTGTCTGTATTTGAACGTTTCCCTCTCTACTCTCTGTTTCTCTCTTTGTCTCATTTTCCCGCCCTCTCATCCTTAGAAATCAATTGGTCGGCTCAAGTCTCTTGTCCGCTCTCCAACAACAAACTAGAAGTCCAAGTGTTTGCAAAGTATTTGTTTTCTTCTTTAATTCTTCTGTACAGCATTGTGTATTGGCAAAGCAAACTGTTTGAATACATGTGCATGAAGCACAATTAAAACTGCTTCCCATGCTCTGCATCAGGGGTGATCAGAAGAGCATGTACAAAATAATTGTAATTACAGAGAAATGAGACCATTCAATTTCACATTTGCATGAATGACTCAGAAACACTTCCAAACACACAGAAATTACAGTCACAGTGCGGGGGGGAGCACCTTCAGAGAGGTTTCTTAGGTTTAAAACAGCTGAGACAAATTATTCGTCAACAATTTCCTCAACACCACATTCTCTTTGTCCATTTTTTGATTTTTTTTTTTATCTTGCTTTGCTTTTTCTCAAACCTGTTCTTGTTTCCCTTGTTAGATTTTAATTTCTCTCTCATGTTGTATGTCTTGCTCTGGCGTGTCATCTATAAAATTTTGATTTCTCAGTCCATTATTGAGAGGATGCATCATATCAGAAGAAAGGGAACTTTGTGCTGCATGAATCATTTAGTGTGTTGAGCCGACTTCGTAAACATTATGTGATAATCCTCTACAAGAGCTTCAGAATTTGGGTACATTGCACATTCAAGAACACATATTCCATCCCTGTATTACAATTCATCTGGTACTTGTGTCAGTTTGTTGTGTGTGAATTTGAAAGTGAATACCATTTTGAACATAAGGAAGGTAAAAAATACAGCCTTTAATTTCCTTTTACTGTCTTGAGTCTTGCACAATGCCTAACAAAATGCCCATCAACCTACAATGTCGGCACAGAACGGTTTTACTGCATAAACATTTTTAATTTCTGTTCAGTTTCTCAGGCAGACAGTCAATGTAATAACATCCAATTTAAACTATGATGTAACTGCCAGTGGACAAGTTGTTGTCGTTCAGTGTTATAGTGTAGTGTTGTAGTAGATTATGTTGTTGTCATTGTTTTTTGCCTTCAATGACTCTTGCTTTTATCTTGCAGTCTCTGCCACCGCTTTCTACAAGGCCCAGCCTGTCATCCAGTTCATGTGCGAAGTGCTGGACATCCACAACATAGACGAGCAGCCTCGCCCTCTCACAGACTCACACCGGGTCAAATTCACCAAAGAAATCAAAGGTGACGACGAGTGTGTAAAATGTGCCTGCGTGCGAGGAAGAGAGTTAAATCAAACGAATAAAAGTGCATTATTGTGTGCGTGGGTGAGAGAGAGCGTTTATACAGGACCAGGGAGAGCACACGTCACAGCCATTCACACACACACACACACACACATTCTCAATGCCACTCCAACGCTTTATATTATTCACCAGGTTTGAAGGTGGAGGTGACGCACTGTGGAACCATGCGGAGGAAGTACCGTGTCTGCAACGTGACCCGTCGGCCTGCCAGCCATCAAACGTGAGTCAGCCTCCGGGCGGGCAAGGGAACAGGAGACTTTGGGCGGAGTGTGTGGATGGGACGGGGGCAGGAAACACGGACCGCTGAGGATGCGATCACCAGTTCACCACAAAACAAACCAGATAATAGCTGACTCATCTGACAACCATGCGGTGAACGTTAGTCATCCGTTAGTGAAGTAGCAGCAGTTGTGTGCAGCTGCTGATCTTAAGAGTTTGTCATCCAGAATAGAAAACTTCACCGTGTGTTATCCTTTAAATAGCGTTACATCACCATATGGCCATGAAAAAGGATGTTTATCTATGGCAACGGCTGTTGAGCCATATGCTATTGAAATACTAAGAATAAAGCTATATAATGATCTTTTGAATAGTGATTGAGAGGTTTGACGGTAAATGGCTCTTTCTTTACAGGTTCCCTCTACAGTTGGAAAATGGTCAGACTGTAGAGCGTACTGTAGCCCAGTACTTCAGGGAGAAGTACAACCTGCAGCTGAAGTACCCACATTTACCCTGTCTACAGGTGGGCCAGGAGCAAAAGCACACCTACCTGCCCCTGGAGGTGAGAGAAAACAAGTTGCTTTTTCTCTCTTTTTTTTTTTAAATTTGGCTTCAATTTAAACATAAAGTATGAGGAAAATCTGCAGTGTATGGTCTACTGGACAGCTCCCAGGTGTGCCTGTGTATCAACTGTATAAATAAGAAGCAGGGCATCTGCAAGTGTGCCCAGAACATTTTTCGCTGGGTAAATGATAACTCCAACTTTTGCCTTTGTTTTCTTGCAGGTGTGTAACATTGTAGCTGGTCAACGGTGTATAAAGAAGCTGACGGATAATCAGACCTCCACTATGATCAAAGCCACAGCTCGCTCTGCACCCGACAGGCAGGAGGAGATCAGCAGGCTGGTGAGTTATAGACACCTGCTGAGTAGTATGGTTCATTGTTTCCATTATGTATTTTCTTACTAAAAATAGAGAAACAGATACAAATACAACAAAACAAATAGTATTTAATACGTATATGTGTCTGTGTAGTCTGCAGAACATCTTGCTATGTTGTGCAGTGCCCTAAGCACGCACTGTCAGTCAAGTTGTTAGGTTTAGGTTATATTGTATATGGCTGACAGGACGTATCTGTACCTATGGAGATCTAATATGAAATCCTAGACTGAGTATGTAGAATATTTTAGACTTCAGCAGTTTATGTTGATTTCAGCATGTTACATTAGGGTTATATATTGGCAAGCATCTGGAAAAACAATATGTGTCACAATACAGGGGTTAAAAGTTTAATATATTAAGATATGTGGGATTTTTTAATGTAATTTTTGTCATAGTATAAAGAACACGCCACCATATCTATAAAATGAGTAAAAAAAAAGTATGCAACCAGTATAGTAGCATCTGCATTTGTATTTATTAAAGTCGCTGTCACATCCACACTTACCATACTGCTATATAACGGTCGGGGGTTTAAACACAGAAATGTATTGTGTTTTTGAGATTAGATACATTATCATAATATTTTCTTACAACTATAATTTGGATAGCCATTCAGTTGGACAGACGACGGCTTTATGAAATGAGTTGCTAAGCTTGTCAGCACTTGGTTGCTATGCTGCTCATCTTGATATAAAATAGCTTGTTTTGCAATCACCTCTCCCAGATTCCCTTTTTATGTTGTTAACGGAGGCATGTCAGTATGCTTGTGCATCGCATTTGGCAATTACAAGGCAGGCCTACCGAGGGTCAACAAAATGCCAGAGTCGTAATGGCTTTAATGTGTGTGTGTGTGAGGTTGCTACAGTGTCTGCAGCGTATTGTTTATGGAAAGATTGACAGACTGTACACTGCCTCTGGCCACCATCAGATTAGCAGTGCACATTTAGTACCTGTTGTTGCCTTATTAAACCACGTTCCCCTATCTCTTCACTTAGGAGCAAAATGGCTGGACTTGGCTTTATAAAAAAATCATTGTAAACATCACTGGTGGTGTTTTGATGCACAGAGGTTGAGAGATAGAAAAGGACAAAACAAGCAGATAAGCTGTGTCTGTAAGAACGACATAATGAATTCTATAATACATTTGGATATTGTGCCAGCTGGGCTGATCGTGTGCCCTGTGCTTGTAGTCATTTTGGATTGCTGCGCTGGCACCTGACATTTTTTGGCATGTCACCATTCTTCCTATCGAACCAACAACTTGTATAATAATGAAAACAATGCAAATGCGAACCGCGAAAGAGAAAATGCATAAAGGAAAAATAATAATAACAGATGCCATGCCAGCAAGTACAGACGCAATGCCTCATTAAGATAACAAGCATAAGGTCTATCTAAAACGATGATGGCACAAGCACTTGGCACGAGGCAAACATGGTCCACATCACATTTTTAATGTAATGCCCACTCAGCTACTGCTACACTTTGGCTTCATTATGTAAAGAACTGTATCCTAATATACTAATTCTGACCTACTGTACAACATCTGAGAACTAATCCTCTACACTGGTCATTCACAACAACTCAATAAACGAAGTCCTCTTCTAAATTGAGCTGCTGCTAAAGGATTTGTTTGACTTTTTGACGTTTTGCGTATTGCTTTTAGATGAGAAGAACAATAATAGTACCTGCACCCGCTCACTAATTAACACAATATATCTTGTTAGTTTCAACCGAAGTGTAAATGTAAGCCATTATTCCTTTAACCAAAACAAGCCACAATGAGTGAGCATGTAAGAAAAGCCTCAGGAGAACACATTACTATACATGTTTACCTTTTCAGTAGGGCTTTACATCATGCTGTCATTAACTACCGTGGCCTGATGTCTAATTTTCCCGCCCACCTTTCCCTGCAGGTGCGCAGTGCCAACTACGAGGCAGACCCTTTTGTGCAGGAATTCCAGTTCAGGGTGCGCGACGAGATGGCCCACGTGACGGGGCGAGTGCTACCCGCCCCCATGCTGCAGTACGGCGGCAGGGTGAGCACAGAGCACTTTATGGTACCCTTCCTTTAAATCACGCCCATTCTCTCTGTTTGTCTGACACGCTCTCCCCTTCCTCCAGCCTTTATTGCTCTAAGGGGAACTAACTCACTGGCTTCTGTTTGTACTTCATGGTGTCAGTCTTTTTGGCTTTTTTTTTTGTGGTTGAGTCTCAGAAGTGCAAATTTTAATTGTACCTTAAAAACGTCTGGGTTTTTGAGAGAAACAAACAGGAGGGGAAGATTTTGTCCCTCTGCTAGAAGGATGTTTTTTTTTTGATGAAACAATTAAACAGTGCAATACTCACGATTGCCAAAAACCTTGCCAGCATTTGCCTAATGTTAATTTTCCTGGGTGAAGTCGAGAAGAGGTTGGTTGGACAGGCTTCCAAAAATTGGATAAAGAAGCATCTTATTGAGACTGAACCACATTGCCGATTAACATCTGTCTGTTTATCTTTGATGAGACACACTTTTACTATTGTACGTTGGGTGTGCATTACTGAGAACTGTGACACCATTATGCACACTATGTTGTGTGCAATACACACACCAAATTGCATCTAGAAAACTATAGATTTCATCACACAGTGCAGACCACTATCTTTGCAATAAAATTCAAGGTTCACACTTGAAGACCACTTGATGGTATTTGTTAATTGATTTGAAAGTTAAATGTTTCTCTGGTGCAAATGCATGTTTCTATGAATTTATGTCCAAAAATGAGTGTTAATACATTTTGGTATGGATGAAGAGTGTGTGTGGGTTCTGTGGGTTTTCAGAAAGTAAGTGTGTGCTTGTGTGTGTGTATGCGAGTGCGTGCACACTTGTCTCGTCTCGTGTTTCTGCCTGTTCAAGTGAGAGTTTGTGTGAACAGTGTGAATGTGAGTGTTTGCCCACATAATCATGAGTACATGTGGTGAGACTGCAATGTTGTTTCAGAACCGCACTGTAGCCACACCCAGCCATGGGGTGTGGGACATGAGGGGGAAACAGTTCCATACCGGGGTGGAGATCAAGATGTGGGCCATCGCCTGTTTCGCCACACAGAGGCAGTGTCGGGAAGAAATCCTAAAGTATGATTATTTACATTTATTGGAGTTTTCTAAAATCCTTTTCTGAGATTTTGTTGTTACCATTTGTGCAGTGATGATGCTCATTTAAGTATATTTATGATAGTTTAGACTACATTTGTTAGATTACTGTTAGTTAAGGTTATAAGTCATTTAATCTATTTGTCTTTTTCATTAGTCATAATGTTTAAGATGATTTTATTAGTGTATGTATATATATTTTGGACTCCATAAATAGTAATTTGGCATGAGTGAATAATTTATTTTTCAAATGATCACTAAAAGAAGGGTAACATCTCTTATCCAGCAGTCTGCAGAAGGCCATGGTGTCTCTACAGAGAACCTCACAATTTGATTAGATTTTATATCTTTACTTTACTAGCTAATACCAGAGGAACAGTGCACATTCATAAAGAATAACCGTAACTATGTCAGAGGTAGAGAAAAGGAAAGTTAAACATACCCTAAAAACTGCAAACTGCCTTTTGCTGAATCGCTGAAATTCTGACACCTACATTGAAAAATGCAGTGATGCATATAAATTAGATTTTTTGGCATTGTAGGATACAATAAAAACAAGGGTAAACATTCATTGAAAATTGAAAATGTACAAAACAATTTGTCAGACATCGATATACCATTTGCTGTTTACAAGCAGCTATGTTTTATATGCAGACCATTTTTGCAGGTCCATGCTTTTTTCCGTGCAAAGAAGGCACAAGCTTGCAGCTTGTAGTTGACGTCACTAGTTCTAACGACTCTTATTCTTCCCTCCTGCCTCTTCCTTGTGTAGGGGTTTCACAGACCAGCTGCGCAAGATCTCCAAGGATGCTGGGATGCCCATCCAGGGCCAGCCATGTTTCTGTAAATACGCCCAGGGAGCCGACAGTGTGGAGCCCATGTTCAGACACCTGAAGAACACCTACGCCGGACTGCAGCTTATCATCGTCATTCTGCCGGGAAAGACTCCTGTCTATGGTTAGAAAAAGTGCTTGAAAATAAATATTATACTGGAATCCAGAGATATGCTTTTGGTTAATACTGTGTGGAAACACTAATGCTATTCTGGTATTGAGTGCTGGTGCAATATTCTCAGCTTCCCAAATGTATGTCAATGAAAGAACCATATTGAGGAGAGTGTAATATTACAGAATACTCTTTCCAGTGGCTGCTGTCTTGTATCTTGAATTTATTGAATTTCTTTGAGAGTTACTTATGAAGCTTTGAATTACATTACTGATCATAGGTTAAACGGTATTCCACCTCTTTCATAGATTATTGACTTTGAGAACTGATATCAATATTATAAAGCTTGTGCTACCTTTGTAAGGATATTTTAGAATTTTAAAAATGGTAAAGGTTTGCTTATTTGATGCTCACTTTTTGTACCCACCCACAGCGGAAGTAAAGCGTGTGGGAGACACCCTCTTGGGAATGGCCACACAATGTGTCCAGGTGAAGAACGTGGTGAAGACGTCACCTCAGACCCTCTCCAACCTCTGCCTCAAGATCAATGTGAAGCTGGGAGGCATCAACAACATCCTGGTCCCTCACCAACGGTCAGTCATGCCCTCCTTCTCATATATGCTGTACTGTAGTGATGCTGGTTTTAAATGGCTTCTTATAGCTTGGACTGTCAGAATATGACTATTTGTCACATGTACACATGAGATTGACAGAGAAACACAACCACACACACATAGTAACAAACATGGTACCATGCGAGGAACAGTCAGTATATTGTCGTAACTAATACAAGAAATGTCTTTTGTGTCTCTCAATCAATAGACCATCAGTGTTTCAGCAGCCAGTTATCTTCTTGGGAGCAGATGTTACACATCCACCTGCTGGAGATGGGAAGAAGCCATCAATTGCAGCAGTGAGTTCTTCATATTCCACCTGACCTATCGGCTGAATTTATTAACTTATGATCCCTGTATTGGCCATTCACTGTTGACTGACATGTCTATCTGATTTTCCCTTTTCTTTCTCTCTTGCACTACTCCCCTCTCTCTTCCAGGTGGTAGGCAGTATGGATGCCCATCCCAGCAGGTACTGTGCCACTGTGCGGGTCCAAAGGCCCAGGCAGGAGGTAATCCAGGACCTGGCCTCCATGGTGCGGGAATTGCTCATCCAGTTTTACAAGTCGACCCGCTACAAGCCCACCAGGATCATTTTCTACAGGGATGGAGTTTCAGAAGGCCAGTTCAGACAGGTCAGCTCCCACTTTCTTTCACAAAACGATTGGTTGGAGGCAGAGACTTGAGTTTTGCTTGCAGAGTTTTAAGTATATAGATGGGATTTTCTTCAAGGATAGTTATTTTTAAACATTTGAAGCTGATTTTCTTTTTTTCTTCTTCTCCCTCAGGTGCTGTATTATGAGCTGCTGGCCATTCGTGAGGCCTGTATAAGCCTGGAGAAGGAGTACCAGCCAGGCATCACCTACATTGTTGTGCAAAAACGCCACCATACACGCCTCTTCTGTGCCGACCGCAATGAGAGAGTGAGTCCCCACCAGTCGCACACACACACAAACTCTCTTTAAGTACGACACAGCGATGGTCCCCATTAAAGTCAGTACAGTGTGTTATGTGCTAGTCCATATTCTTTGTTTTTATGCTCCGTGCCAGCACGTTGAGTACTCGAAATGAGTCTCCTTAATTACCTTTTGTTGTCAATTGGGCTGTTCACCCTCCTAACCCCTGTAATTACCTTCGATTAAAGCATTAGGGCCCAGTGCAAACCGAGAGCTCTGGAGTGGCACTCAAGGCCCCAAGAGTAAGACTCGGCTAGTAACAGCCTTATTTTCAGTGCAGTCACTCCCGTGCAGAGCATTAGGCCCTCTAGAGCATTAGGCTTTTAATAGGTTGATTCGAAAGCACTTGGTAAACCTTTGCCTGGGTCGGTCAATCAACTAGTTCTTTTTTCATCTAGTGCTTTAAAAGCTTTGTTCTTCGCTGCTCTTTTCCTCCATCTTCCATTTTCTGTTCAAGTTGTTTTTGTTGTCAAGGTAATACATGGAAAAAATAGCCAAAAGCCATTAGTAGGGACTAACTGACTGTAACTTTGCTTTTGCCAGGTTGGACGTAGTGGAAACATTCCTGCTGGTACTACCGTGGATACGGACATCACGCATCCCTACGAGTTTGACTTTTACCTCTGCAGTCACGCTGGAATACAGGTCAGACCAACCTCTTGTCTTCTCTGCCCAGCCTGCTCCCATATACAGCAGTGTTTCCTTAACACTCTGCACTTTTAGAGAGCTATGGATTGTTCCAAATACATAGTAAAGAGGATTCAGAAATTAAATGGCCACAAGAAAATATATTGCCCTTTTTCCCCCCAGTTTCTTGTATTTATCTGATGACGTTAGATCCCCAAGAACTGGAGAGTTACTCTAAGGAAAAATTTGTCTGTGAATTTTGGACTCATTTTCAGTCTTAAAAATCCGTTTCTGTAAACACTTTAGTTCAATACAGTAAACGGATGGACAGACAGGTGCAAACTGCATCAAAAAAAACTTATGCCAAGAGCTACCATCCTTACTGAAATTTACAACAGTAGGCTACAGAAAAAGGGACACAAGATTCTACAAAAGTCCCGTCTTATAGCTAACCATCTTTATTAACTTTCTTGCTTCTTTTAAAGACTGAAAGGTTTTACAGTTAGGACAGTGAGGTTCTTCAACAGCACTTACTTACAGGCTGTTTTGCCATTGTGCTCTTTTCATCCTTGTCTATAAGACAGTAATAATGTGTACAGTGATATAGTCTGTGGTGCTGATAGAATCCCAGTGTCAATGTTTGTTTTATTTATTTGCTCTCTTGTTTTTTTTAATGCAAATGTTTAATTGTTTGACTGTGGCAATGTTATGTTTTACCATTTGTTTAATTTCTCAGTGTAGTTATACGATGTTATCTTTTCTTTAACGTATTGTGTATAATCCTGAATCTAATAATACAAGTGTGCCATTTAATTCCCTTCATCCCAGGGCACCAGTCGGCCCTCCCACTACCATGTACTGTGGGACGACAATTGTTTTACCGCTGACGAGTTCCAGCTGCTCACCTACCAGTTGTGCCACACCTACGTGCGCTGTACCCGCTCGGTCTCCATCCCTGCGCCAGCCTACTACGCCCACCTGGTGGCCTTCCGCGCCCGCTACCATCTGGTGGACAAAGAACATGACAGGTGAGGAAGGGAGGGAGTAAACAAGAGTGTCAAGGTCCTGAACTCGTGTTATTTGTTAGACGAGTGTTTTGATAGCAGTTGTCTTGTATTACTTGCAGAATGTGCCCAATTTTCCTGCATGCATACCATTATCATTTGCCCTCCATCATAACTGGTCCTCTCCTCTGTACTCTGCAGCGCTGAGGGCAGCCATGTTTCTGGTCAGAGTAACGGTCGGGACCCCCAGCGTTGCCAAAGCTGTCAGGTGCACCACGACCACCCTGAGGACCATGGTACTTCGCCTGAGCGGTTACAGCCAACGCGGTCAAACCATGCCACGTACACACACACACACACACACAGAAACACACACACACAGTAACACACACAAGAAACACACACACACACACACACACACACACACACACACACACACACACAACAACAGACACAACCATGCACACCTGGCTTGCCAGTCAAGGAGTCCTCAAGTCCCGCCCCCCCACACGCCTAGTCAATCCGGACCTGACACTGTGCAGAGGAAAGCAGGGAGGAGGAAGGGGAGGAGGCACCCCCACACTGGACTGAGGATGCAAACGCTGCTTTAAAAACAAACAAGAGAGAAACTCAGCACTATTATGCAATATTAAACCAGCCAACTAGTTTATTTTCACCCTTATTAGGCCCCCTTTCCATTGCCCCTCCTATCTGTTTTTCCCTGTTTGTCTCTTTTACTTGTGGCCTAGTGGGTGTTTTTTTTGTTTTGTTTTTACTTTTCCCTTCCTTTGGCACAATCTTGTCTACTAATCTGCTCCTTTGCCATCTACAGTACCTCAAGTCAATTTGAGCAGCAGCACTTTCACATTCTGTCAGTTTTACTGTAGTTTGTCATTGATTCTCCCCAGTGTTAGAAATGGGGGAGCAGAGAAGGTAGGGTTTAGACTCTGTAGTTGTTAAATGGTGTTTATTTTGGAATATAGTTATTTCATTGGACCAGGGTTGTCCCAGTTGCCACTTTTATTTTTCCTTTTTCCTCTTGTTTCCTCTGTTCTGTCACTTTTCACTAGTGTGTGAAATCACCAGTATGGAGCAACATGTTCTTTTGAGCACACTGCCACCTGTTGGCGACGAGGTATAAATGCCCCCTAAAAGTCACAACAAAGAGTTGTTGTCTTATAAGGTTTCAGATCAGTTTTGATTTATCTTTAGCGGTCAGCTGTTTATATTGGCTGATATATCAATTGCTCAACTGCAGCCATTTATGGATTTCATTTAAAGTATAACACTGTTATTTAATTCTGGTTGTTATTTTTCTTCTACATTGTGAAACATTTTATGACTTTTTTAATCATTTAAATCATGTAAGCTTGTGTTTTTAATCTTAGCAGTCATTGTGCATTCATTTCCCTCAGTGCTTTATCTCACATTTCCCTCTCTTGAGTTTGAGATGGTGGGTAAATAGAGATCTTGTCGATGGTTTCCTCTAGTGCAATAATCAGTTGAAACGAAGGGAAGATGATTTTAGGGGACTTAAACGACTCAAAAGAACGGTTACACATTTCATTTGAAAGTGAGTGTCCTCGAAAAGAGAAAGGTTTGCCACTTGCTAGGCACTTTCATGTATTGCTCCTCTGTGAGACGATTGATCGGCATGTTATATGGGATTGCCCTTGCCGTTGGGCAAAAATGGTGCAACTGCAGTTGCAGGTGATTTTAATGTTTTTACTTGAATTGAAGGATGTTATGCGCCTCTGTGGTTTGAGAGTACTTTATCATTAATGGGCATAATTTCAGAATTCATGATCATCAGTTTGCTAATGAGGCTGATTTTCTTAATTCCTAAGAATAACAAAGCTTTTCACCCGACCGCAGCAAAGTGGAGTATAAAGGCCATAAAGAGGTAGTATTCAAGTGCCTGGTGGAAGTGTTAAATGGTCAAAAGCTGCATAGCTCGTTATAGGGATCCTGTTTCATTGGGGCAAAATAAGCAAAAAGCCTATTCCAACAAATGGACAGCATAAGATGGTTTAAAGCGAGAAAGTTTCACCCGATGCCTCTTATTCTTCTCAACTAACTGTCTACTGACTTTTCTATACATCTCATCCATATATTTATTGTGTTTGCCTATACAGCGGAGTTAGCTGCCGGCTTTGCTTCAGAGCAGCGTTCAAGCAAAGCAGGCAGAGTTAATGTTTTTGCTTTCACCAGACATGGATCCAGCTGCTATAGTGTGTTTGTACCTAAAAGGCCGGGTTCATGGGCACGGAGAGAGCCTCATCATAAACTAATTCTTTCAACAAACGGTTTCTTTCAGTAGAAATCCTGAGTCCAGGACAGGGTTTAATTCCTGTCCATGTAACCGGCCAAAAGTTGCGACTGGCTTCAGAACAATTCTGAGGAGTTAAGTCAGTGACCAATATTTTCAGCAGACGTACAGCTGACTGTTGAAATGTTGTATCTGGATTATAGTCACCACTTAGCTCCTCTGTGCCGCTGATGACCTGAAGCTCGTCCTGGGGGTTGTTTTTAAAAGTTATCTGCACTAAAAGAAGCTGTGTTTGGGGACTGAACACAGGCGTGGTGCTACTCTGTCTGAATTTGAATTTAAAGCTGAACCTCTGTATGAGACTCTAGATGAACAGGTGGGCAGGATAGGAAAAAAAATAACGGTAAACCTCACTCACTTAAGGACAGGCGAAGGCCCCACTGCTGTGGTTGGTGCGGGGAACTCTAGATTTAGGATTTCACTCGGTAGTTGTGAACAGCATTGAGAACCTGTAAACGGTACAATGGCAGACGTTCCCATGGACATTGAGGTATAATGTCCTGTATATGTATAATCCTGCACCCGCTGTTGCATCTGACTGCCTTTTGTAGGCTTTCCAGTGTGGGAACCAGTGAGTTTGAGCCTTCATGATTTCACTAGTGTCTGAAAGCCTTTTTAAAAGCCGAAAGTATATTTGTACATTTTAAATTATGTAATGCACACCACTTATTTTTGCTAACAGAAAAAAATAATGTAGTCTAATTATTAATCTTAGTAATAACTGTAACATGATAAGTAATGGTTAAAAAGATATAATAACAAAGTTTTATTATTGCAATAGACTGTTGACTTGTTCCTGTGTCACTATAACGTATAGTGTATGTGTGAACAGTGGTGAGGTTGTTGAAACTAGTGCCGTGTGTTTGGACTGTCGTACTGTTATTGATAGGGATGTGGACCGCCTCTAGCTTTGATGTTTGGAAAAAAAAGCTGCAACATGTTGAATGCTTATTTCTCTCCTTTTTTTTTTTATTTAAATTTTTTGCAGTTTGTTGTAGAGGAGAGAATCCTAGACTGCACCCTGAAAGGCTTTGTATTAAGACATCACATCCCTATTGTGACAACAAACAGTAGAAAAGAAGAAGAGTCTGTTGATGTATTGAGTTTCTGCTCTTGAATGTTTTTTTGGATTTTCTTCAACTGGTGCTGATGCCTGCTCCTTATCGAGAGGGAGAGTGAAAAGGAATGGGCAAGTGGTTTTGAAAGTATTGTTGATCTATTTCAAAGACACGTGTGATCAAACAATATCATGACAAGGGGTAGTAGTTCTCCATTCCTTTGTGTTAAAGCCTTGGAGGGGATTTACGTCGGATTGCAACCTCCGTTGCTTTCCTCAGACTCCTCTCTTTACCCGAGCCATTTCATGTGCTCACAAATACAAAGAGTTAGCCTCCCGGTAAATCTGCGGTGTGATAAAGCCTGTAATCTTATTGTTGCTTTCTTTCCCCTTTGCTCCCAAACATTTACTCTCCTGCGCCAGAGGACTACATTCCACGGCCGTACAATCCCATCCGATCCCCCTGGGAGGCATAAGAAAGATTAGAGCAGAAGGACAATGGTGAGGTCTGGTCAGTAAGATATAGTGGGTTCTCTCATTCCTTCAAGTATGTGCGATGAGGAAGGAATCAGAGCTGATCAGCAGAAACTAGATTATGTTGCAAGTTGATTGTGAGAATCCATTTATAACTCACTATCTTTGCTGTCAGTAATGGATGTTCAGTTTGTGTACAAACTACACTCTTGAGGGCAGTTGAACACATGTTTACATAGCAGATGTGTTTGCCTCGCTTACAACTGAAATGTCATCAGCTCTGCTTTGCAAATATTAGCTTGCAGAGGAGTGACCTAACATGAACAAGACCATTTGGGGCCTGTGGAAGTGAACGCTTGAAGGGGATGCGAAGATGTTATTTATTTGGTCAATTTTTTCCTCAACAGACATCTGTGTTGCACAGCAGGGGAGTAGACTTGTGTCCACCCACGTCTATCAAAATAACTCGTTAGACTTGATTGAAATACACTGAAAGCCTGCAGCTAGTTGTGGCCTTTGGATCTCGGTAAGGATTGTTATCAATACAGACAAGTCTTTTTTTGTGGAAGCTGAAGAACAAACACCTTACCCACAAAGTGACAACTGTCTGGTGAAGAAAAATAGCCAAATTAACTTTAAAAAAGGTCAGTGTCTCCCTTTTGTAAATGGAAGTAAAGGTGTATTCCATTTCGAGTAATCGATCAATATCCCTGATTTTGGTTGCTCTGTTTGCAGTGGAAGGTAGCAATGGAGTGAGAAAAAGTCCACAGAAAGTGCCTTTCCTCTTGATGGTGCTGTCAACTGAAAGATAAAATGTAAAGTCAAACAAATAGAATCTCATTTTCAAGAACACACTGCAATGCAGGAATGGCTGCATTTACACACACTCACTTTGTTTTTTAGAGACGGCAATGCAAACTTGTGTTTCATGTATTTAGATATTAAGCCTACATAGAAAAAGAATATATGCCAAGTATATGGTTGTGGTTGAGCTTTCGCTTCCTAGTGCATTTAGTGTCTTGGACCAATGGTGTCGTTGGTACAGTGGAATGTGCGTTTTGGGTGGTTGGGGGGTTCATAGCTGACATTAGCGTGGTGTGACACAGCCCAGCCCACGAATGACAAACATAGCACAGCACTTTAGAGACTGCCACTCTCACTCAGACACATAGCCAAGAGGTTTCGACCTCTGTCCCTCCAGTCCCCTTCTACCTCCCCGAACAAGGAGGAGGAGAGGATCCAAACCTCGTTGTAAACGAGGAGTCGAAGGGATGTGTGTTACCAAACAAAGCAGTCGGTCATTAAAAGTGTGCCTCATGCTCTCGTGACTTTGTTGGTGGCTCAGTTGAGTCAGCTCTCGGGTTGGTGGTTTTCCTTCTGGAATTGCCACTCTTTGTTACAGCTAGGGCTGGGTGTCAAAACATGATATCAATTACCTCCCAGATATTGGCATCAGAATTCTGAAGCATCCAAAAAAAAAAAAGGTTTTACAAAAGATTCTTGCACTGAGGAATTAAGATTTTTTTTTTTTCTTCTTGAAGGGCATTTTTACTAAGTAAATCAGCATAAGTAGGATCTAAAACTTCTTGAAAAGGCAGCAAAAGCATGAATGACAGAAAATTAATTTGTCTGTTGCATAGTGAAGTATGCTATCATTCAAGTGTCATTTTACAGCAGGTATAGGGATGAAATCAGCAGAACCAGTGTCAGTATTGAAGCTTTTCTCACGATGCCCAGCCCTAGTAGCAGCCCCATGGCATTCTTTCATCTTCGTGCAATGCCCTGCCATGTGTCTTGTCCCTGATGGAGGGTGTATGTGCCCAGCATTATCCCTGTCTTGAGCCGGTAGGGTGTGTCGACTGAAAACCAAGGGTGGTCTGTAGTTCTGTGGGTACCTTTTCAGTCCAGGGGGTGAAATCTTTCTATTACAAGAGATCTCTAAAAACACTGCACCTCACTTACCTTGGTATGCTGCATATGTTATACTACATGAAAGAAAACTGCAAATTGCTTTTATTATGACATATAATGCTTGAGTAATGCCTGATTGCGATATTCTTATACAGTAACTATTTTAGAGTCAAAATAAGTATAAATGTAAAAATATTCTCTGTTTTGTCTTAACACTTATCCGATTTTGAGAAATTGTTCTTGAGCCGACTTTTATTTTGTTGTCCTATTTAAATGTGTCGTTCTTTAAATTTATATATGAAATATATATATGCGGAATATTTTATGGTGTATTTATTGAGAGTGCGTTCAAGCGGCTGGAGTCTCCGCA